GGTTTGATTGTTTTTGGTAATTCTAGTTGTATTCTAAATACCAGTCAGCTAGAGTCATGAGTTCAATTATTCGTAGGGATAAACATTTACAGATAGCAGATGATCATACAAGTTGACGAATATCCAGACGCTTCAATATTGTTAAAAATGTCATACACTAGACGGGCGATGTGTTATTGATGGATAGCCTAAATTGTGATTTACTAGTTTTTATTTATCGTCTCACTGTGCACAGATGTGGATTCTTTGATTGGACACTAGTTAATAACTGAGGCTGCTGTCACTCAAGGCGTTGTCCTTTCTCCTTTTCTGTTTTCTTTCTTTTTGAATGATTTGCCTCACTCTGATGAAATGAACTTTGTTAGGTATGCCGATGATCTAACTATTTCAACGTCTGTTAACTCCCAACTTGACTGTGCTAAGATGAACAGCTTTCTATCAGGAATTAGCAAATCGTCTTCGTGTAACGGCCTTAAACTAAATCCTTCCAAATGCCAGACTGTTAATTTCAGTTTCCGATGTAAACGAAGGTTAAATAAAGCTGTTGGTTCCTATGACCCTTGCAAAATTGATGATACTGATATAGAAATCAAGTGTGAAGTGAAGTATCTTGGATTAATTCTTTCTTCTGACCTATCCTGGTCTTTCCATGTCTTAGCGATTTCTAAAAGAATATTTCGTCTGACATTTTACATTAAGAAGTTAAGGCATAACCCAACCTCTCCTCTTACAGTTTGTCGACTCGTGTATTTTACCTATTCTTCTTTACTGTTCACCCTTATTCTTTCGTGGATTGCTTAAAAAAGACTATGTCATACTTCGTAGAACTCTGAAGACTGTTAGTAGGACGAGTGGTATCCTATTGGGCCATATCGTTGACATTGTCACTGAAAGGCACTTGATGTCATGCAACAAATTTACTAAAGGAATTCTGTCAGACTGTGAACACCCACTCTACTCACAGCTCCAACTTTGTGTCTCCTCAGGTAAAACAAGAAGTCTTTCCAGAAGACTTTATGCACGTACGTTTAAGTATAAAAATTACACTATACCATATTTGGCACATATTTGATGTGACGAAAATAGTGTTAAACATGAACTAACTAACCTTCTTTGCACTACTAAATAAACCATTTCCTCTACCCTTAAACCATCAAACTTTATTGTTATTGTATTTCTTATATTTATAATCCTCTCAATTTTTTGTTTTTATTTATTTATTTTTCATAAGTGTGAGCATCATTTAAGCTGTGTTATAACTGTTAATTTTGTATTTTCCCTCACCATACTGCTATATCAACAGAACATAAGATTCAATAATCTATAACACGCTAAAATTTCCGAACTGAATCGCCAATGCTTTTTGAAACAAACTCACTGTTATTATTATTATTAATATTTAATGATCTCAATTCGTGCTTCGAATATTTTTGACTTTATATCGTAAACATGGACAAATCCCTGTGGTTACTTTTGTTTTAATTTTTAATTTTATTTATATTTTGAGTAAATCAGATGCAATATTGTGATTAATGCTGAGAATTCAATTCTGTATTATAAGTACTGCATGTTGGAATAAAGTAAATTATTATCATTATTAGTGTAGTGTGTCTAGCCCTTTGTTTGTTGCAGACTGAATTCTATCAGTCAAGTTTGCAATATGGCCATCATACCACTAGGTGGCTTGCCATCACTGTACACTTTCAGTTACAAGTATTAGATGGTAGGAGGCAATCGGCTACAGAAAGCCTTGAACCTAGGTTTCGTGCTAGTTGACACTCACCAGTCAGTCAGCAAGACGTATCTGACACCTTGAAGTAACTCGAGTTCATTTTGAGATTCGAATTCACGTCACCCAGTACTTCAGTCAGTCAGAGATGTTATCACTGAGCTGATCGGGTTCGCGTTTGATCTCCTTTAGGAATGTGTTGGATACTTTGATTCGACATAAGTTAGCAACTTGTGTGATTCGTCTAACCTTATCTTTGCTGCAGACTGAATTCTATCAGACGAGTACCAGCAAGCACCAAATCTAGGTCTAAGGCCACTACTTGCCGATTGCCTCCGACCATCTAATACTGAAATAGATTAATTATCTAAATTCTGATAAAGCAATTGAAGGCGAAGTCAGTGGTCAACATTTTAAATCTTAAAACATGGCTACATTGACATATTTAGCGTTGAAGGACATCAGCGGTCAGACAATTAACGTAATCTCATCTAATTTACAGTCGACAGCCACCTGTCATTGATGTATTTATTAAGAAATAGTTCAACTAAATATTTTAGAGTCAACCATCTATTTCACAAACACTATTGAGAGAATGGTTCACATTCCAGGATTTGACAGTTCAAAGAATGTCAGTTTCTGGATACTTAAAAGTTAAATAACCTGCAAAACAACAGATGTATTAGTACATATTCAACGAAGTGACTGGTGAAAGGACCTATCATTATAAAAATGTAATATAAGCTTTAAAAAAGTCCTAATAACTTCTTTGAAAACCCCTCAAAAGCTAGAAGGGCAGCATGACCGGACGAGATCCTCCCCTTAAGCACTCAAAATGAATCCAGTGACAACAGCAGATATGTTCATGCTAGTAGTACAAAACGCTTTTGAAGGAGGAAAAGGTACCTACTCTGACTGGATGAAAGACTACCCTGTCAAACTATCAAAGAAGGGCGACTTAAGCCTTTGAAAGAGCTGACGTGGAATCATGGCCTTGTCTATCCGAAAGGAAAATATTAATTCACTGGAGAGACTAAAAGATGCATTGGATCCAAGATTCCAAGCCTAACATGCTAGACCCAACGAGAAATTACTTCAACACTATGACGTGTGTCAAGTGATCCACAATGGAACAATCAACAGAGCCTCTCAAAGCGAAAATAGGAGTAATACAAAGTAATAAACGAAACTCAAACCAAAACCGATGATTTAACAATGCATCCGTGTTTGACGTGAAGGAGATGAAAGCTTACTGGGAGCCATTGAGCTAGCTGCAGAGGATTGAAGAGAACAGAACAGAATTGAGATGTGGTGTTGAAACCCATGTGTCCCACTCGGAACCCAAGGGAATAATAAAAGTGACAGTTCAACAAAAATTACGATTAGTAATAGTGACGCTAAAACAGCCTTCAAAGTTTATATCTACGTCTACATCTTCGTCTTTTGCTGAAGGGACATCATAAAATCAAATAACGTGGCTCTCCACAGGTAACAGAAATGTTTCTCTTTCATAGGATACACGTGATGACTACTCATTATTGAAATTGAAAAAAATATAAACACTATTTACTGATATGAAAAGTAATTACTAAATCATTACAAATCCTGGTACAAACAGAATTTTCAAACACATTTAAAAGTCGTAGATCAGCGAAGAGTCTCTTTTCGCCGGCGAATTCATTTTCCACTTTGGCTGTACAATCGCAAATATATATACATGTTATTTTGTTTGTATATGTACATTAAGTTTGTCAAACAGAAATACGTACAATTGGTTATGGTTATTTCAAATAAACAGGTGAAGATTGGTAATTGGAGTTACATAATACAAAATCAGTCAAGAAAATTAGGTGTTGTTAGTGAAATTAGGGTAGTAACAAAGGTGATGAGTTGTCATAAACAGTTGTTAAAAAAGAAGTTATGCAATAATAGGAATAGTGTGATGAGTGAGTTTTACTGAGTATACACATAGGGACAAAGTAGAGAATACGAAACCGCGTAAGAGTTCTAAATGAATACAAGAGTTAAAAGCAATTAAAGAACAGGCAAACAAACAAAATTAAGTCACCAAAATAAAAAACTCAAATCAACAAAGTTGTTACCATGACAGTAGAAGTGGTTGAGTAATTATTCTCTTTTATATGCACAGCTCCTGTTTCTCTATGTGAATGGCGAGAGCTTCAGCGGTGCAAAGAAGATGAAACCGTATTGCCTTTGATAGGTTATTCGTGACTCTGTAGATTACTTTGAAGCAAGAGTCGTTGGTTGAAATGGAATGATCAGTGTTAGTTAACCAGCTGTTCAACTATCTCACTCCTTATTGCACCACTATTGCCTTTTCGCAACCATGCTGGCTTGATAGTGTTCTTGAATCCTCTTGGACAGGATGCGCGTCAAACTATCGATGTACCTGGTTCCACAGCATCATGTGAACTGATATATGCACATAGAAGTGGTCAGATCCGGGATCTTGTCCTTGAGGCTTCTGCAGATCATTGGGCGACTGGAGAATACTATTCTTAGTGTTGCTGCAAAGAATGTTCTTCTCAGAGATGATGTGATCATTATCTTGAGAATATCATATATTAAATCTCCCTTGAAATCCAAGTTCATGCAGAGTTCCTTTTTAAGCGCAAGTAAAGTTTCGTTTCTCCGAATTATTGGTTTGATATTTTTGTCGATGAATCTTATTGGGTATCCGTTTTAGATGAAGATTTCTCTTAGATATTTTAAGATATTCTAATTGCTTATAATTCTTGTATTCATTTAGAACTCTTACGTAATCTCGTATTCTCTACTTTGCTCCTATGTGTATCCTGAGTAAAATTCAATCATCAAACTATTCATATTATCATATATCTTCTTTTTTAACAACAATTTGTGACAACTCATCACCTCTGTTACTACCCTAATTCCATTAACACCTAGTTTTCTTGACTTGTATTACCAATCCTCACTTGTTTAGTTAAAATAACCGTAATCAATGGTCTATTTTTGTTTGACAAACCTAATGTACATATACATACAAAATAACTCGTATGTATATGGTTGTGATTGTACAGATATAGTGGAAAATGAATTCGCCGCCGAAAAGACACTCTTCATTGATCTACGTGTTTTGTTTTCATCAATGCCTGGACGAGGATTATCCATGAACATTTAAAAGTCGACTGTAATGTAAGAACAGTTAAGAATTTAGAAAACATAACAGTGATATATCATCTTCAGAAAAAATAGCAATAAAATTAAGTAAGCAGTGGTGGTTACTCACTACAACTGTTGGTAAAACTACAATATGTGCTAGTTTTTGAAAAGTTCCCAAAGCGCTTAACCAGGTGCGATTAACTCTTTGAACCACTTTGTCACTCCACTGATATACTTGCCTATTAAAATACCAGAAAAGCAAATAAAAATTGTAAGTCGAGGAATATAATTATATATATATATATATATATATACTGTGTGGAATTATATTTTCATGCTATGAATAAAATGTAGAATTCACAGCTCTTGAAGATTAGCATTCAGCTAACGGAATAGGATTCAAGTCTGATCACGAGTTGACATCAGTTAGAGAACTAATAGAAGACCAACAGGGAGTATCGGACAGCCGTTCCATCCTAGTTTGGAAGTCTTCAGCAGCGTGCACCTAGAGTCAGTGTTTAAACCCACGGCCTTTCGGTTTTGAAGGCCGGTTCGTAGACGATCTGATCACTGGGATCTGACGTAATTAAACCCCCCATGAACTCCAGCTTCTATCAATTTGTGTGCTTTTTACGCGATTTCTCACTGGAACTTCATGCTGTGGACAACCAGTGACTAGCGAGCATCAGAGGTGGTTTATAGACAACTGATTTGTTTGCTGACTGCAGCGCCAATCACCATCAACGGGAAGGATTTGAAAGAGGTTACTTCATTCACTCACTTATCTAGCATTGAGCATTGTCTCAACTACAGACAGTTGGAACGGACGAGGATGTCAAATCGAGCGAGAATCGGGAAGGCGAGCGAGAAACACATTCATCAACCTGAAGCCAATCTGGAAATCTTTGTCAATCAGCATCAACAACAAAATTCAGTCGGATTTTCAATACAAACGTCAAGTCAGTCAGTTTTCCTATACGGATCAGAAACTTGACGGGCGGGTCACAAAGAATATTTCCAACAGGTTGCCATGTAGACCTTTATCAACCAACAACTGTCTTCGCTCAATCTATACTGAAGATCAGATGTCCGGGCAGGAAAGAATCACCAACAAGAAACTATGGGCACTAACAAACAAAACAAGAACAAACCAATCGCTCAACAACAGAAAATATGCAGGAGAAAGTGGAGATGGATGGATTGGACACTCGCTCGCTGAGGAGGCCGTTGGGTGACATCGCGTGCGCGTCAGGCCATTGCTCGAGTGGAACCAGGCCGAAAGGGAAGAGGAGTTGAAACAGTATGGACTAACATGGATGCGGGTGAAAAGCACAGCAGAAGACAGAAGACAGTAAGTGGAGACGGGCAGTTGAAACCCTATGTTCCACTAGGAACCCAAGGGAACAATAATAATATAATATATGAAGACAAGTTCCTCAGTATATAAAAAATATTAAATACTGGAGAGATAGATTTGTCGTCAAAGGCAGAAAATGATGAAGAATGCGGTAAAAGTTAGTAGATACGAGAAAAGAAAAACAATAAAGAAACACAACACGAAGTGGATGGGGGGTGAGGCAGAAGTAGCACAACACAGAAGATCTGTGCAAATGACGATTTCATTATATGGTGTACATCATTTCTCTATGTGTGTATATTTAGTTCCTAATAGACATTCTTTTGTCAGGTCTTTTAACTTGAATTAAGTGAGCAACTCTCTAAGAAGAGCCAGTGTAATTTTGATGTGGTTTTGTTCTCTGAGCTGGATAGTTAGTTTGCGAAGCTTTCATCACCTTACTGGGTGACATCTTCAGCGCATACTTCAAATTGAAGTGAGCTTTTAGGTTTCTCCACGAGTTTATTAATCATTCCTCCTGGTGACCTTGGACGTGATTGGTTGTTTATGTATGTTTTCACACCTTCTAGGTTACTTGCGTTGGAACTGATTGTTTTTGTGACTTGAACTTTGGCCAATCGTGTGTGAAGTTTCTTTCTTATTGGTTGATAAATTTTGTCTATCTCGATGTGTCTATTGATTGATGATTCACTGGAATCCCAGGCTGGCTTCTAAAAATTCTCTAGCATTCTTGTTATTTCCTTTGTCTAATATTTGAACGTTGTCCCAGTCGAATTGATGTCCGTGGTTGTCTGTGTGTAGTGAAATGAGGGAGTGTATATCATGTCTTTTGACGGCTAGCTTATGTTCGTGGATACGAAGACGAAGGGGACGTCCACTTTGGCCAATGTAGTGTTTTTCACAGTTGTTACAGTTTATTTTGTAGATGATGTTGGTTTTGTCTTCTTTTACTGTTGAGTCTTTTGGTTGACATAGAATTGAGTGCAGCGACTTTGTTGGTTTGTGTACGACGTCAATTCCTAAAGGTTTGAAGAGTCTTTTAGTGATTTCTGAGATATCCTTTATAAATGGTAAGGCGATTTTCTTTGTGTTTTCCTTGGTGGCTTTTGTTTTGGTAGGTTGGCTTGGGGGTATATGTCTCTTGATGAAATTCCGTGGATATCCATTCTTTTGGAAGACGTCCATGAGATACTTTTCTTCAATTTTTCTTAAGGTGGGAGTGCTGCAGTGAGTCCTTGCTCTCTTGAATAGTGTTTGTATGCAGTTCCTTTTGTGTGCTATTGGGTTGGGACAACGTTGTTTTTGGGACAACGTTCAAATATTAGACAAAGGAAATAACAAGAATGCTAGAGAATTTTTAGAAGCCAGCCTGGGATTCCAGTGAATCATCAATCAATAGACACATCGAGATAGACAAAATTTATCAACCAATAAGAAAGAAACTTCACACACGATTGGCCAAAGTTCAAGTCACAAAAACAATCAGTTCCAACGCAAGTAACCTAGAAGGTGTGAAAACATACATAAACAACCAATCACGTCCAAGGTCACCAGGAGGAATGATTAATAAACTCGTGGAGAAACCTAAAAGCTCACTTCAATTTGAAGTATGCGCTGAAGATGTCACCCAGTAAGGTGATGAAAGCTTCGCAAACTAACTATCCAGCTCAGAGAACAAAACCACATCAAAATTATCCACCTGAGCTACAAATCTTCTCTATCATATCTAAGAGCCAGTGTAATCTAGTTAGTCCGAAATGCATGGTATCAGAGTATGAAGTTTCTTTTTTTGATGAATAATGTTATATTACTGATAAATTTGAGGTGATTTTATAGAATTATAAATTTTTATGGATAAATCTAAGGAATGCGGTTACAGACAGGTGCTCACTCCTGTTATCCAACATCGTATTTATCAAACAACAGGCTTCAAGTGGAGCTAAATTTTCAGACATTACCTTTCCATACGGTATTATTGTAGAAACGATTCTTGGAAATAAAACAACAGCAATAACGAGATGATTCATAGTAGACTAATTGAATTTTCAAGTGTTGACTTGCAGAGATCTGATTGGATTCATGATTTCATCATGAAGTGACATAGGTTAGAGGATCACTGGAAAACCTGCAGGGAGTATTGGACAGCTGTTTTGTCCTACTCTAGGACTTTCCTCATCAGTGTGGTGAGAGCAGGCTGCTAGCCGATTGGTTGGCACTAATCTACGTTAAGGTCTAGGTCACCAATATGGGCCGTGAGAAAATATGAACAAGCCTGAGTCAACAACCAATCACAGCAAAGTTAACGTGGCAGAATATGATTCGCAGAGAGAACTCTATTTGTCAAGGATTCCCGAGACAACCAATCAGAAGCCTGCGTTTGTCTACCTAAACAACCAATCAGATGACTGCGCTTGTCTATAATAATGTAGTTGAAAGATGTATAAATACGTGTTGATTTTCATAATAAAACGATCTGTTGCCTGGCCCTTGTCTTCTGTTGTTACATTTGGTGTCGCTGCCTACCGACAAATGAAAAGCCTATACCCTGCAGTTTTTGATGGAGACAAATGGATCTTCGGGCAGGACTTCAAGGCTTCTGCGCAGTTGAGTGGCGTTCAAGATCTGTCAGCGATGGAGCTGCTACTTGAGACGCTGCTGGGAGGTCGGGCGAAAGCAGCATATGAAGATGTGGGCCGAAGTATGGACGAATGTTCGACAGGGTCAGGCAAACAGTTTCCAAAGTGGGTGGGACCATATATGGTCACTTCGAGATGGGGTTACGCAGACACAGTCGCAATGGCGAACAATGAGAGGCGCGTGAACGTCAGCGAGCTCCAGAAATGGATAAAGCGAGACAAGCCAACGATGACGCCTGCACCAAGTAGATCAAGCCGACTTCAGTCGCACGTATTTGACGGGGGGACGAGTGTGGTGAGAGCAGGCTGCTAGCCGATTGGTTGGCACTAATCTACGTTAAGGTCTAGGTCACCAATATGGACCGTGAGAAAATATGAACAAGCCTGAGTCAACAACCAATCACAGCAAAGTTAACGTGGCAGAATATGATTCGCAGAGAGAACTCTATTTGTCAAGGATTCCCGAGACAACCAATCAGAAGCCTGCGTTTGTCTACCTAAACAACCAATCAGATGACTGCGCTTGTCTATAATAATGTAGTTGAAAGATGTATAAATACGTGTTGATTTTCATAATAAAACGATCTGTTGCCTGGCCCTTGTCTTCTGTTGTTACATCAGTAGTCTCCTAGAGCCAGTGTTCGAACTCAGGACCTTCTAGTTACAAGGAGAGCTTGTAGACCATTAAGCCACTGGGACCGATCAATTGGCCAGTCCATGAAATCCAACTTCTGGCAATTCACGATACTGCTAAACCACTAGCGAGTGTCATCGTTGGTAAGTATTTCTCCCCAAAACCAACCTGCTGTAACCCACTGGTCACAACTTCCCAACAGTACACAGGTAACTGAATAGAGTAAGTCACTGGTGAGCATCAGATTGATATTCAAATATCAATTTGCAGGGATTGAATTTGATTTGTTTCAGGATCTCATCATGAAGTGACATCGGCTAGAGGACCATTGGAAAAACTGATGAAGAGTCCCGAACTAGGATGAAACAGCTGTCCAGTACCCCCTGAAGGTTTTCCAATGGTCCTATAACTAACCAATGTCAGTTCATGATGAAAACCCAAATGAATTTTATGTACCACTAATCGCCCCCCCCCCAATTTCCTAATTCATTAAATGCATATTTCGTCTTTGCTCAAGATGACTGATTCTACGAGGTGATCATTAAGAAAAGTAACTTCATTTTTGTTTACAGTAAGTAGATGAACTCATAAATCACTTGAAATTTCTTCTGC